CGCAGTCTTATAAATATGTAAGCCCAAATACAGTTTTAATCGACCCACAATGTAAGGTCTCTCGTGACGTTGAAAATAATTTAAAAAAACATTTCATAAAAGATTTAACAACTATTAAATGATTTACACTTCTCTATTACCTTCTTTGTTTAAAATAAAATAATAATAATAATAATACTTAAATAAAAAATAAAATAAAATAATTATAACTATAGTAATATTAGTATGATGATCTATACGATAAAGTAAGCGTATTTATAAGTGTGTAATTTTATATACACTGTTTACATACACGAAACAGTGTCATGACTAGGGAACGGATTTATATGTAATAAAAATACATAAATATGTACATATTTATGTAAGTAAAATGTATAAAATATGTGCTAAAACCATCCAAATATGTAGGAAAAAATTTAATAAAAAAAAAAAAAATTATAATTATTAAATTATCAAAATTATTTGTTGCATTGAATTATTACAATTTTAAATTATTAAATATTAAATATCGCCTATTAGATCTGAAAATATTTTTAAAACGGCTAAATGATCATTCCACATCAACCTACATCGGTTGATTTAAGCATATTTGAAGGGCATAATATTAGAAGGCGATAATTCCAAAATTTTAGAAGGGTGTCTGCCACTCTATGTCATTGATTGATTTATAATCAATATGGCCTGAAATTTTTTTCTGTAACAACATGAATTTTCTTTTTTACAACTTCGCCTATTGGTCCGTTTACGAGTTTTCATTTTGCAATCGTTGATTCGACAATTTGCATACTTTCATTCAAGGACATATTTTTGTTTCTTATTTTGTAAATGTATGTGCAATAAAACTAAAATTCACTGAGATGAAAATTAAATGAGTTTTCAATGTTTCATTTTGCATAATATTTTGAGCTTTTCTAATAGCGATAGAAGTTCTGGATCTAAATTTGAAATAATTTCTTGTATTTTTTGTACGAAGAAGACGTATGAATGATGAAATAATAAAATATGTTTAAAAATATTTACAAATTAGTGAAATATGTAAAAATATGTAATTATACCAAAATATGTAAAAATATGTAAAATAAAAGTAGCATCATATTAATAGGAATGATTTAAATCATGAACATTTCTTATCAAATTTTAAATATCTCGTTTTAATAAAAATATGTATTTACATATAAATCCGTTCCCTAGTCATGACTAATTTTAAGTTTTTCAGATTTTAAAGTGAGTAAATTCAGAACAATATAGATAACGTTTTTTTTTTTAAATCGGAAATTATAACTGTGAAAATCAATTATACTCAAAATTATTCCTCCTGACCGTAATCACTCTTTTATCATGGTAAAAGTATTTTAAATATAGGGTTAACGATTGAGAAATAGTTGTCAATAAAATTTATTCTTCGTCGAAAACAAAATTGGTTAGTACATTTTTTGTTAGATTTTAATATGTTCACGGTTATAACTGTAATCACCCTTGGGGATAGCATTATAGCTACCATGGTGTCTAGATATACATTCGAATAAATTATAAAAAAATTTCACTTAATATTTAGTTTTAATGTATTATAATCGTAAGACAAAAAATACGAATTTACACATTCTTACAGTCAAAAATTTTGAAATTGTACAAATATTTTTATTAATACATAGTATTGAGGTGAATTGTTTTCGTAATTATTTCTATAGATTTAACAAGGTGATATTATACACAGTTCCAGATCTAGGAGAGGGGTAAATGGGTATGTTTACCTCAGACGGTAAAAAGTTTTCTTAAGTTTATAAAAAATAATATAGTTCATACTTCGTAATTCCACCTATGTAAGGGCACTGCATTTTACTAGTCCCGGATGTCAAATTTCCTAGATCCGACACGGATTGCTCAATATCATATATTTTAGATTTAAAGCCCTATATAAATTACGAGATTTAAAAATTACATAATTATACATAGTCTTCAATAAAAATAAAAAATTCATATTATAAAAGCTAATTTTATAGTTTTTGTATTATTTATTTAATATTAGACATTTTGTGCATAAAAATAAGTCGAAAACGCAAAGAAACGAGATTTTTGATTAAAATACAATGTATAGTAATAATTAATTTAGTTAAATTTATTATATTCCTTAAGAGAGATTTCGGTATATTTATTACAATTCAATGATTACATTGTATTGATATAAATAAAAATGATATGTTATACAAAATAAGTTTTTTAAATTGTTTGGGTGATTTTTACATGAAATAACTTTTGGTTTGATTGTGAATCAAAATTACTTATATAACGAATAAATGATTACATCGTTTTTCAAGACTATTAATAAAAATTTGGGCTTCTAATAAAAAATGGTATTATCTCATAAGTATATCTACTAATATTTTGGTAATTCATCAAAAGCAACAAAAAAATAGTTTTTAGAATAAATTTAGTCGTTTAGATGTTTTTAATTTCATAGCTTTGTTGAAAAACTGAATAGTCAACGTCAACTTGGTTTTAATTGGATAAAATATTATTATTCTCTCTTCTCTCTCTCTTTCTCTTTCTCTTTCTCTCTAAACGTCAATCATGATTATAATTTCAACAAGAAACTGACTGCGTTATGCATAGTTTTAATGTCACAACCAACGATAAGCTAATAAAGCTTTTCATAACGGAGTTTCATTTTAGGTTATTCCTCTAATTATTTAGAGGTCAATCATAGCAATCAAATTTAACTTTGAGATATTCTCGAAAATCTTGTATTGAATAATTTTACTAAAAGATATATACTATCGAGATATATATTATTATTAGAGTTGAAATAATCTTAAATGTTCCTTTCTCACACAAGATTTTAACGCGTCATGACGTATGAACAACTTTAGATATTATTAGCGGCAATACAAGTGTTTACCATCGGTAATGACACACTGATATATTCGTGTACGAGATACAAAAAGTACTTGCAATAATTATTAACTATTAAAAATAGTTCAAAATTTCTATTCATTGTCTAATTTAGTTTAAATTGTTTTACTCGTAATAAAAATACACACGGGTATTTATATCATTGAAAAGTAAGAAGTATACATAATCACTGATAAATCAATTAAAACATAACTAAATTAGTTTTCATGGATGAAAGTTACTTTCAAACCGATGTTACAAAAAGATTCAAACTATTCTAAACAAAATGTTCTGAATTATAGAAAAATAATCAAATAAACAACTTCTAGAATTGTTTTACACAGTTCAAATTTAAAAACATTGTGGAAAATTAAAAGCTATCCAACAATTACAATTATCCGAGGAAAGTTACTCATAGACAACTCTTTTTGTTAACTAACAATATGCTTTTCAAAACACTCCAATAGAGTCATAAACAAGTTTACATGTAATGCTCTGTTTTTCACTAAATTACAAACAGTAAATTGTATTTAACATTAAATAAAGCCGGTAATCATTTTCTGATAACGAAACAACTGATATTTTCTACTTATATTTTTTAAGTTTTTTGCTATACAGCATGGTCTAAAGGTCAGTTCTAATTTGTCAATTTCCCTTTTGTTTTGAATTAAATAGTTAGCGTTTGTCTTCGAAACTAATGATTCCGCAACTTCATTCGCTTCATGAAACGATATGTTTGGCATCTTAACCTTTTAGATATATCACGATCAATCTTTGAAACTTGCTTAACGCGTTATGGTAGTCTCTGTAAGTTGGAACGACCAATGTACCTCTCCTGTTAGTATCGCATAGATGTGCATGTTTCCTAATGTTCTCCTACCGATCTCGACTTGACTGGCATTATCCCACTCAAACTTAACTGCGTAGTGTTCGTTAATTCCATATTTAATTTTATGAGCGTTCCAGATTATTTTACCGACGATTTTTTTTTTCGCACTAGTTCTATGCTGCGTAATATATTTTATCAACTGACGAATACTTCGTTGACGTTTATGCGATGACTAAACGCCTGCAGATAACTCGTATATGGTATATGGTATTTAAGTTACTAATAACATCCGGTTAATCCAATAAACGTCCGATAAATATCAACCGTATCAATCGTTCAGCCAAAAGGTATAACGTTCTTAATCGTTCGATAGCCGATATCGTACTCAAATTATCGTTCGTTTAAATTTGGCAACGTTGGAAAAAAAATAAATATCGAGCGTTCTCAATCGTGTTACCAAAAATAACATTCTCAATCGTATTTATTCGCAATAGATTCATCCTTATAATAACTATTTACATAAATTCGTTTATGCGCAGGAAAAGAGGCATAACACTTTTCTGGCTTTCTTATAACTGATAATTTTTACCGGCAGAATATTTCATGTCTACGCTTTGTTCGTCTTAGGGCCGTCCCTAGGACAGGGCGAGCGGATCCCTCGCCCCGGGCCTCACGCTCTCACCATAGTTGGACAGGCCTTGCTTTCATAGATCATAGATGCAATAAAAAAAAGTTAAATTGTTGAGCAAAAAAAAATGTACATATCATTTTTTTTTCATGTAAAATTGTTTATTATATAATTAATTTATTTACTTATTCATATTGTTGGAAGTACAAGGTACTATATTTGTTAAGACTATTTGCGCACATTTGAGTTCCAATATGCAACTAATGCGCGATAGTGACATTTTCGACATAAATGTCGAATGTGCCCTTAAAAAGCCCCATAATTTTACTTTGAACCGAGCCCCGCAAATCATCAGGATGGCCCTGGTTCGTCTATCATGATATTCATATATATAATATTTTATGGTTACCTTTACTAGTTGTACACGCACAAAAAATACATTATCTTACTATGCTTTATAAAGTATGTTTTAATTGTTTTAAATAGTTTTAACGTTTAAATATCACATGTATATTTTAAACGCGTTCACCCATTTAATGACGAACTAATCGGATGACACGAATAAAGTGTGAACTGAATAATCGTTTAAATAAATTTAGACTCGTAAGCAATATAGCGTTTAAGATCACCTAACAACCATATTGTGTACCACAGGTCCCGACTGGAAACGTTTGAACAGACGTGTTCTGTGGATCAGATGACCAGTCGATGTGCTGGGCCGCCGTCTGCATGTCGCGAATCCATTTTGGGCATACTGGGAACGATGTTGAGGACGAACTGTGCGTGCAAGGATACATCCCGTTCCAAATTCTACGACTGCATGGGATGGCAACGAGTATTTTGGTTCAACTCGTGTGTCGGTATGTATGCTTAACATTTATCGTACAATATTTACGGTTTGTAAATATTCTTGTAAAATAAATACAATAATATATATATATATATATATATATATATATATATATATATATATATATTAATAATCATAATATATACTATAGATTTACTATACAATACGATATCAGTATTTTATGAATATTATAATATTTCTATGTATCGAATGTTGAAAACACAGTTAAAAAGTTTTCCTATTCTAATACACGTGGTTAAATTATAATTTAATGTTTTTAAACGATTTAAAAGACTTAATGGTATAACTAGTAATAATCTACTATAACGTAGAAAACGTGTATTCACTACAGTTCCGAAGATTTAAACCAAATGTCTAGTAATTCATTTTTTATCGGTACACGACCGACGTGTTGATCTACGTTTCATTTGAGGATAAATGAAAGCCGTGGATCGTTTCTGGACAGTAAATACGAATGCTGTGTGTTCTTATTGTACGCGCTACATCGCTCAACCTTAATATTTTAATACATGAACAAACAGTTATGAGTAGAAATAAATAAATAAACTCTAAGCATTATTATATTTGTAATGTAAGGCCGGTTTGGAATTAAAAATTCATCATCAGGTATATACAAAGTCAATAAAATGGCGAGATTCAACTCGACTCCGTATTTTTTCTAAAATAAATCCTTGTTACATCCGAAACCGAAAATATATGTGGATTGCGAACCGCTGTGTAGTTACCACCGGTGGGAATAATAATTCTTTATTTATAGAACCAAATTTGTTATTATTATGGATTATTTATTATTTTCTAATGGTAGGAAAAAAAAACATTTCGATTAGTTTTTGTTCGTCGGCAAGACCAATGTAGATTCACGTGGAAATAATCTCGACACACTAATGTCCACAGAGAAAAATAACGAAAGACAAATAATTAACAGGAAAAAGAAAGAAAAAAATGCTTATAAAAAAAAAAAAAAAATCCTTTAGAAACGGAAAACTGCGAATTATTAATGTATAATGTTTTCTCGGAATCGGTCGCACATTTCCAGTGGAAGCTCAGCGGGATTTTCACATGGCCAAAATAAAAGAATTGGTCAAACTGTCGTCGCATCACTCGCACACGGTTGTCCGCGATCACGAGCAAACGACGGCGATCGCGATCAAACCGCTGTCGCCGGTGATGCCTTGGACCAGAGCCACGGACGCGCCGACCACAACCACGGTCAAAGTCCTGATGGCGGGCAAAACATTCCGATCCGACGCGACCGCGGTCGCCACACCGAATCCCGTCACGACCACGTCGACGACAACTACCACCGCCACTACCACTGTCACCGTCGCCGACACAACTACCGTTATCGCCGCGACCAATGCTGACTATTCGGCCATGACATCGACGACAACAAACGTTATGCTCCCATCTCAAATCCCTTTACGTGAGTATAAACGTCACCGTAAACGATCGATTTCGTCTGTCGGACTTCTTGTTTTCGTCAACCCGTAGCTTTAACGAATAAACGAAAGTCAAATCTCCAAATTAGTTTCGGTCTTCCCTTGTCGCGTGACTTGACTTTCGTAATTTACGACTCATCGTACAAACTGCAAAGCATTTTTATCACTCATTTTTCATTTCATTATTTACTACTCATTTTACAACGAGCAACACATATAAAGCATTACAACATTTTTTTTATTTGTTCTAGCACTATGTTTTAAGAAAAAGAATAATATACGTTGATCTAGAACAAGGGTCGGCCAATCTTTTCAAACTAGTGAACTACATTCAAAATTTTAAGTTCCTGGTTATCGTCATCTCTGTGATCGTTTCTCTATTGTTTCTTCATAATAATAATAATAATAAATAACAATAGTCTAATATTTTTAATACTACACAAGAAAAGTAAAAGAGTTTATTAATGCGAGACCTGGCGTTGGTTCTCAGCATTATCAATGCTAACATTTTTATTTCGATTGACTTATATTCCTAAAAAGATCGACGGTTGGCGACCTCTAGTCTAGTATATGGCTAAAATTTAGAAAATAATATACCTATTTATTAAGGTAATTTAGGATAATCGACATACATTATTCGATTAAAATTACCACGACACAATAAATTGTATGCTCCTGTATTTTTATGTAGTTTGTCACCTAATTATATGTGAATAAAAATTAAAAAAGCTAAATCCTCAATACATTTATCTAATAAATTGTGTGTTTATTATAAATAATAAAAAAGTAATTTCAAAACCAATAAATTTCCTGCTGTGCTTAGAATTTTATAATAATGTAATATTGATTTGCGATAAGGTAGTTGAAGTGACATCCAGTCTCCACAGTTCCTTGTTCACCATACAATAAATTAATATTTTTAATTATTTCAATTAATTCTATTCTTTCATTAATAGACTATTTTTTTTTTTTAATTTCCGACTTTTCGTCTTAATCTACATTTCAGTTGACGGAACTGTAATAATAATACTTTCTTAAATTGTTTGTTTTGTAGGAGGATGTAGTTTGCAGAGGTCACCACATTATAACAAACAGTTTTTGCCCGAAGGTGATGTCATCAGGGTAAATAATAATCAGTTATTATAAATATAGTATACGTCAGTTATTCATCAAATAAATCGAGTTTTGATCATGTTGTATGAATTTTTTCGTTTTCTAGCTTCACAGTTTAGAGGATAATTCGTGCTCCGAGGTATGTCATTGCAAGTCAGTCGAAAGTTTGACTTGTCAAACCATCTGTGTGGAAGTAGAACCATGTGAAACAGAAATCGCATACTATCATCACGAATCACCAGCTTATATTGCGTTCCGTGGACGGTGCGTGTGCTACGTTGGGAGATTTATTTGTATGCGACCAAAAATGGGTAATAATAATAATAATATATTATAATTTATTATTTTTACGACCTTAGAAAAGCGTAAAATTTATTATAGTAAAATAAATACCTTGTGTTGTATAATAACGGCATAGAAAACCTATGTATGTTGTATAGGTATTTGTAAACGAGTGGAAGTATAATAATTACTAATAATAAGCATATTAATAATGTTTCGAAATTTGCCGGAACAGGTTCATATGCGCTGGTGCCGGGCGTGTTTTTGTTCTTGGGATACAGTGAAAAGGACGAATCGTTGTTGAAAAGCTTGGACATAATGAATTTTGAGATCAAAGATATCGTTTACGAAATTCAGAAGTTCATACATGAGCACATGATGTATAACGTGAGTGTCAAATATTTACAAATCATATAATATTGAACGCGGTTCTAAATAGACCAATGCAATTCTTAATAATAAGATTAGTGCGTAATAATACGTACCAATTAATTTCGGTTGTAATCGCAATGAAACGAATTAGATTTAAAATATTCCTTTTTTTTTTTTTTTAAACACAGTCGATTGATTACAAATTCAATCAAAGTTCTATAAAAATGGTACAGGCATTAAACGTCTGTTAGAATACTCAAACAGAAACATGATCCAACGGTAAAAATAATAAAAAAAGTGTAAATATGGTACAGACATTAAACATTTATTAGAATACTCAAACAAAAATATGATCCAATGATAAAAATAATAATAAAAGTATAAAATTGAATGATAATGCTTTTTCTAAAACATTTCTATAGGATTTTTTTTTTCATTTCAAACAATCCGGAAACATGTACTTCCGTATCGGTAATATCATATCGGTTATTGTGTTCCGCCTATACCGCAGACAATTACACACTGAAATCCGTAGTTCATGTTTGTGGCGGGCGATGAGTGACGGCGAAACTATGGTGTGGAAAGCGGTAGATCCAAGGCAATATGTTGCTTTGAAATATCAACATATAATTTAATATTATTATGAATAAACTATTTAGTGTATAATATATACCATAAAATAGTAGATATATCTACATAACTCTATATTATAATATAATATTATTATATGAGAAGTTTATTATTTTATAATTTAAGTATTAAGAAAAGCATTTTCTCAGATGACTTCAAAATCGCAATAATTAAACCGTTATTCAAGGGAGGTGATCGTAGATATATATCAAACTATAGAAAAATAGTAATTTATTATCTAAAAATCAATTTGGTTTTAGAAAAGGGCTAAGCACTGAAAATGCTTTATATCAAGTTACATGATTTCTGTATCACTCATTAGTTAGTGGAGCAAAAAATATTGCTTATATCCCTAAACCTTGTGAAGGCTTTGGACACTATAAGCCATGATATACTGTCTCTAACCTAACCTAACTCAACCTACCTACTTTTGGAATAAACAAAATAAGTTTACTTTGATTTCAAAGCTACCTCTTCGATAGACTTCAACAAGTAAAATTAAATAATGTCCTAAGTGATAGCAATATTTAAAATATGGTGTTCTGCAGGGAAGTGTTTCAGGTCCAATATTGTTCATACTTTATATAAATGATTTATGTAACCTAAATATAGATGGTAAAATAGTTACTTACGCTGATGACACTTGTATGTTATTTTCGGGTCCTTCTTGGAATGAGGTTTATCATAAAGCTACTAGAGGATTAAACTCAATGTATAATTGTATAAATGAAAGAGGTTTATCATTGAATGTGGATAAATCTATATTTATGAAGTTCTCGATAAATAAAAGTACGATTTTCGATTCTTCTTTGATGATTCATAACTGTAATAATCTTTTTATATGTAATAATATAAACTGTAAACAAATCAAACAAATATCGAGAATTCGTTATTTGGGTGTTATATTTGATGAAAATTTGAGATGAAACTTGCGTATTTGCAATCTAGTTAGTGAACTCCGTTCCACTATATATCAGTTCATATGACGGTTACTTCTGTTACCAGTTCAAACGATACGTATGATCTATTTTGCCTTCTATCAATCAATTTTTCAATGCGGGCTCTTAGTATGGGGAGGGGTGAAAGAAAATGCTTTATAACCATTACAAGTCAATCAAAATAACGTAATTAGTATAATCTTAAATAAAATATCCTTAGAAGGTTCGACAAAACTAAATTATAATCTTTTAGGTGTTTTTCCGGTAAAACAATTATATAAGAAAAACGCCCAACTATTTACAATTTAAAAATTATATAAGAAAAAAAACCAATGTTGTTGATTTATCTAAATCCAGAGAACATAAGCTTATAACTTATTAGTGATACACATAAAAGAATTTTTTGAGAAATCTTTCGTAGACTATTTAGTTCCAACCTATTTTAATTAGTTGCTAACCACAAAAAAAAATATATATATTCATGGTTTTTTGAACAATAAAAAATTGTCTATAAATGGCTATTTTCTGAAATAAATATTTCTCGGTAAAATCCGCAGTTAATGTATGTTATTGGATATTTTTAAATATTTTTAGTTTCTTGAGTTTTTAGTTTATCTTTTTAGATTTTTTGTTAATTGTATATAATATTATTTATTTTCTTAATTTTAATTTTACTTTACAATCTCTTGATAACACTCTGCTCCACTATAATCCTAGGCTTATGAGAGTAAATATATTCTTTATCCTTATATTATAATTACTTTATATGTTATTTGTAATAAATTGTAAAGAAATCAATAATAAAATAAAAAAATATTAAGGGACGTATGTGTTGTGTATCTGTAATGATTAGTATTGTAGTTCTTAATCTAAATTCCATCGTATTCTCCTAAAATAAATTAGTTAATTGTGTGTCAAGAATTGAATTTAACTAGTATCTTATTCCTTATCCCGAAGAATGAAACAGCTAAATAGATGTCGGTTTAAGTGTTCAAATTTTGAATTCTAAATACACGTTTTCTAAAAGTATATACTACCAATTTGATTTATTTTAATCAGTGTTCTATCGCCAATAATTATTCAATCTCTGTTCATATATCTACCTACACGTGTATCCCGCTAATATTAATGTAAACGGAAATGCTCATCGATTCGTTGTATATGGATTGATTCTTTGATTCGAAATTAAAGTAAATTCGTTGGGGTCACACAAAGACAGAATGCCAAATGTATGACCGTATGCGATACACATCCATCGAGTGAATGATTTATATATTGTTATACATACCTGCACTCTATTATTCCAATCGTTCGTCAAAGTTCTTAACACTTCCACTCCCTCGCTGCTTTTAGTCAAAATAATAAACACTAAATACAAGTGAAACAAAATTTTATTTTTTTGGAAAAAATGATTAGTAGCCAAATTTTTATTTTGAATAACTGCGCTATTAATGTTTATGTACAGATTACTTTTTTTTTAATGTCATTGGTTTTTTACCTTAAAAAAATGCGTAAACCATATAGTCTTATGTATTATGAATATACTAATAAATATCATCGACAATTTAATAAACCTATATAATTTTATTTTTATTTTTTGTTTCAAGTAAGATATTTACCTGTATTTAATTTTGTAATGTAATATAATATAACTATCGGTACATGCAGGTAAAACAAAATTTGTCTTCAATAAAAACTTATAAAAATCAACTGATTTTCTTGGGTTATGAAAACTGTATGAAAGGTAAAATACATCCCAATACAATGTAGATCTATGAAAAAGGAACATTTTTGTTGGTCCCTATGGATTCCACCTTAGACAAGTTTAACTATGTTTAACGTATGTTAACTTATGCCAGAGTCTACGCATTTTGAAAATAGCCAATAACTTAAGTCAACATCAATTGTTAGGTCATTGAAATAATAAATAACTAATAAATAAATAAAATAATTATAAATTTCTTGATTGTACTTAAATCGTAATTCATTGAATTTTAATACAACAACAATGCATCATCAAGTCATATCACCTTTCTTTTAATTGATAAATATCCTATTAAAATGGCAGGATTAATTTAGTAATTACAGAATCGTAGCTAGACTGTATTGTGATATATGATTTAAAAATATATTTTGACTTAAGCTTTATTATAAATGTTTAATGCATTTTCAAGTGTATTCTAGTAGGTATGTTATGAAAATAATATAAGTAATTAATGGTAATAGTTAATAATATATAAAAGTGATATTTAATTAAGTTAAAATTTCCTGTTTGAATTTAAATTTAAATCTTTCGAACATTTTTCAGCACAGGTTTTTGACGGCTTTGATTCAAATAGCAATATTGTTAGGTTAGAGTTCCGATCATGAGCTATTGAATGCCAGGAAGCAAAAGTTAAATGATGGGTAATATCCCCATTTTTCTTCTCTCCTTAGCTACGGCTTTGATTAGTAGGTACACACTTGTTCTGATTTTAAAAACATAGCATAAAAAAAATTGAATAAAATTAAATTAAAAACTGAGTTAAAAAATAAATTTTAAATCTTTTTGTATAATAATGAATAATGATAAAATACCTATTAAGTTCTTATTTTCATTTATATAGTTTTAAAAAAAGAACTGAAAATAATTCCAACATTATGTGCGTGTAATTTTAACACATGAAAAGAATAGTTCTTTGAATATATACTACAAAACGGCATAATACATACACATCTTGAACATTTGTAAATAATTTGAAAAATATTCAAATTCATTGCAAAGTTGATGGTACGCAAGTATTCTTTTATTTGGATCTTTGGGTTTAGGAAAATTAACAAATTTAGCTGTCGGAATAATGACAATGGTGATATCGAAAATGCGAAATTGGTTATAATTGGCAAGTTTTATAATTGCTTTCACACAATGAGATATTATTATATTCACTTTTGAGAAAAGTTCAACTATTAACACAAAATTATATTATGTATAAAATAAATTTTCACCCGAAAACTTAGAGTTACATAATATTATTTTATAAAATTGTTTACAAATTTCAAACAATGATAATTTTAGTAATTTTAATCTAATTAAATTTTGAATTCTAGTTAATGAATTATTTTCATGAACAAGGATATGAACTTAAAGGACAACTTATTGATTCTGAGTATATAATTGTTAGTTATATTTTTAATAAAATAATAAATGTTATATTATAAGATGAATAATACAGTTAGTATAAGTAAAAGTATTGCCTTATCATTTAACTATATTCAAATTATTTTGAACTTCAAAAATTCACTTATATTATTAAAGTTTCAAATTAAAATTATTTTTATTTTTTATACGTATATAGTAATTTATTCTTAAAGAATTTGTTGTTTGAAATTCTAGCTTAATATTATTTGACTGAATTTCAATTAATTAATATACATTTTGTAATGGCTGGTAAAAAATTTTAATTCAAAAATACTATTAGTATTTTAAAATTAATTAATTTTTATTTGAATTATTTTTATTTGAATAAATGTCTTCGGAAAAATTTTGAAATCTTCAATAAATCTATTTAAAATTCAATGAGTACAAGATTTGGAAATAGATAGTAATTCATTCTTATTGCAATTGTACGTTACCCTAAATATACGAAATTTTATCTGAAAATGTTTTATTATAATATATTCATCTATTAAGATTTTTTTTAACGTTAATAGTGAAGAGATTTTCGAAACTAAATTCCTAACAATTTTTGTATATCTAATAGTGCATTGAATAAATTATTTTTATATTTTTCATACTCAAACTTTCCAACGTTTCTGTTTCTATTTTTGTATTGTTTTAAAAACTATTATTTGTACAGTGCAGTAATAAAAAAGCTACACTATATCTATCCTTTAACAAAATCTACATTCGATCCTCTCCACATGGGTAGTTCTTGACAAACTTTTATGTGACGAGGAAGAATGAAAATATTTTGTACATAAATAGAGGTCTCTCTTTTTCCATAGATAGGTAAGCACTAGGCACATACAAAAAACATTTAATATATCATATACTTTATTGCATAACAAAAATATATGTATGATAAACGTAATTTATAATAAAGTAAAAGAAAATGGTCTACTTCCTTTCCTCTCCATCTTACTATAAAACTACCACTGATGTAACGTACTTATTTATAAAGAATAAATTACATTTTCTTCGTTGTGTGATTGTTTGACATGACAAAATAATAAATAAAATTAATGATATTTTCAGAATAAATGCATTACAAAACGCTTTTTTTTATATTTTTTATTAAATCCTTTATCAGCAAAATGATTCACTGAAATTTACATTAATAATAGTTGAGCTACGTACAAATTAACAACAAATATTTATGTGATATTATGCTTTGTTAGTATCTTTTTATATTACGTTTTTAAATAAATGTGTTATTTTTTTAAGCTGTCTAGCATGTATTATTTCAACAATATTATATTCTCAATAATACAATACCTTTTACAAAATAAAATAAAACGCATTTTAAATATTGTCTATTTAATTCTTACGTTTGTAGAGATACTTCATTAAATTACGAAAACGTTTTAAACTTTTATAAGTATGAAATTATCATAATTTATATAGGCTTGTTGAAATTATTTCGAGACACTCGTAGCCAGCCACGTATACCATACTTATTGGAGTTCAATAATAGGAATATGAGAAAATAATTAAGAATCAAATTCTAATACGTTGTATTATGACTATAAATCAAACTTGATTGTAAATTATAAAAGTTTATACAAAATAGTAGAAGATTTTATCGTTAAGCTTTTAAACATTATATTATTACCTGATAATGTAACTTCAATGGTACACTTTCACTTGTGTGTGAAAAGACAACATTTTTCCCTGAAGAAATATTATAACACATATTTTTACTTGTGTAATACATCTTACAAACAGTATCGTTAAAAAGGTTATAAATGTTAAATTTGAATGTTTTCAGACTACATGCAAGCTACAACTACACATTATGTCATTCGAAAATATGATCATAGTGGGAAAAGCCACTCAGAAACTTACCGCTGGAGGTTATCTCAAAGACGATGCTACAGACCTCCGATCTTCCGTTTTACAAGATAATGTAAGTAATTTACTATACTTATATGTACATGCATGAATACACGTGTACACAAATCCATAAATAATTAAATAATTACAATAACATTATTCGTAAAATTAATGTAACCTAACTATCTCATATATTAATAATTAAAAAATACTTGTAGGTTCGTATATTAGATTCTAACATCACACTATCAAATATGTAAATCGACTATTAACAGCCATATTAATATTAAGCGTCAAACGATATACATTTAGTTCCACGCAGACGATCTTAACCTACATATACCATAGCTTGTCTAGTACTTGTCTAATAATATAAAAAAATATAGTCAATTTCAAAATGCGAGAAAAAAATTAATACTTAAGGGGATGTTACTATAGGGAGGCACGTTGGACTATTCTCTATTTTGAAAAAGTTAATGACATTGAAATAAAATTTAATTAATCGACTTCAAAGTTAATTAATACTTATCTCATACATTGTCCCATGCATCAAGTATATGCTTACTTATCTACGTACTATGTAAAAATTAATACTGTAGTTATTTTAAGAATATACATAAAATTAAATATAGAGGTACTTATTATCTATAAAATAATTCCTTACGACTATGCTCCCAAGATACACCCGCATGTATTGCCACTACCTTATGTATGTACAATGTAGCAAGTCTGAATTCAGTAGAACTAATTTTGTGTTAATAAATGTAATATTAAATTTAATATTAAAGAAAATTAACAAATTATTAAATTTACAGAAAAGAGTATTATTTGTGTTAGTACTTGAGGTTTTTTTTACCATATTTTAACTTTCGAGTGAATTTCTAAAATTGAATTTATTAACATTTAAAAATATTCATATTTACTAAAAAAATAAAATATTGTAGAAAAACGTCTGCCCAAACACAGATAATATTCTTTACTTTAAGTTTGATAATACATCAGTTTACTGTATTATTAATTTCCTTTATTCCATTGAACGCAGATTTGCAATGTAGCTATGCTGTACGTTTGTTCTTAAATATTCAGTAATATGAGCGTGATGGCTTCTTTGTAAACTGCATATATTTTTGGAAACTTGATGATCAAGCAATCCGGAGGTTACCAAGTAAATTGTACAAATTCGATTTACAAATCAACATGTATACATAATTAAATGTATTATTGCATATTACTGTTGTAAATATATCCATATATCAGTGGTCTAGTGTACAATACTTCGAAATGTATTTAACTATGCATGGTGCGAGATTATCTAAATTACACGGAGTCGCTGATTTGCTTGGTCTAACTTCGTCGTTAAACTTTTCGGTTTTCGATCGTATCAATCGTTTGCGCCATATTGTCTAAGAGCACCCAAATGCACGCAACGAATTCTGTATAGTTTATAGTGCACGCACTGCCATTGCCATAACTACCTTTGTTCGTGCTCTTGGCGACTTAAATATATTAGGGACTTTTATCGGATGAAAGGCATGGATGAGGATGAGGGCAAGGAATAATAGAAATATGCGACTTGATTTTGAATTAAAATTTTACTATACTAATTTCCACGTTATAAACATTATCATTATTATATTTTCATAAAAAAATAAAATAGCTATAAGTACTTTTTAATCGTGATAACCGTCTATAACTTATATAATGTAATTATATAAACGTGAAACTATTTATTATTTTTTTGAAACGGCTAATTCAGAAACTACGTGATTGATCACATGGTTTTTTTGTCGTGTAGACAATTCATGGATGGTTTTTAGCTTTTTATTTTTTTTAATATTTTACATGACAACTTTGCAAATATTAACCCGTAATTTCTCGCATATGATATCGCATTAACTTTTTATAAATATTTAAAAAAAAAATTATACTATTTATAGCAAATAATGAAATAAGCATTCAGTGAAAATTTCACGTCTTTATGGTTATAATTTAATTCAGTTTTGTCAAAAACTGTTGTACCATAACTGTTGTCGTACTTTTATAACTTCCCGCAATTATTAAGAAATCTATTAGAATATACGTAAAATTATCTCTTTCAAAATACTAACTAGAAATTATGTTCTATCTTTTAATTTTGATGATCGGAGCACTGTTTCTGATCTTAAAATCGTGCCCAAAGAAATAAAAATATAAATGTAATACATTTTTTTATTTCACTCCGAATCTAATATTAAATTCAATAGTCAATTGTCATGTTTATAGGTATAATTCAATTAGATTTCCTAATTCATCGAAAAACAAATTAATATCATAATATATTAACGTTGTGTAAAATAAGTAATCAAACTTCATAATTGCTCTCGATTAGTATTCGATCGATAAAATTTTGTTACTATCTTTAGATTTATGAAATCATATTCAACATTACAATGATTACATTATAAATACATTACAATTAAAGTCGATAATAAGATATCTACGTTACGGTGTTTATCGTCCAGGAAAAATACGAAAAATACAAAGTTTCAACAATAATGATGAACATATCAGCTATTAACAATGATATTGATATATTAATTCACTCATTTTAATAGCATCCAAATCTTATAAATGTTTTAACATTTAACCAACAGTATATAAACATTATTGTTTTCTCAATTTATATTATTGTATATTTTATTAATATTACTTTCAATTTGCGAGGTACACATGGAATTATAAATTCCAAACCATAAATTATAAACTATTCGTTGATATTACAAAGGGTATTGGTATTTTTTTTCCGAATCAACGGTCGAATAATATAATTTCTCAATAAATGCTTGCATTACATTCAATTCCTATACACAGTGAATGGCAATATGTTATTTTCAGTAGGTTAGCTATTAATTACTGCTGCAATAACTGAAAATCATATTACGAAATCGACAATACTTTTACATTTTCTATCAACTTATTGACTTGTATTTTTAATAGGAGTATTAAGCACAGATTTTTATAATTGATTAGCTGTTTTACAGTAAATCAAATCAATATGCATATTAATCATAGAGCTAAATGTTTATTCTATGTATATTATACTCATAATGACCTGCTTGTTTAGTTATAACTTAGTTGGAACATTTTTAATAAACTCGAAGTATTTATATTTTTTATAAAAACTAAAAATCATTTTTTTTTTTTTTACTTTGCTATTCTTGCAAAAATGAATCACTTAAATTGCCCACATCGGGACGTTTACTTTACACATTAATAATATCGTTTGCAATGAAAAAAAAAAAACAACCAACACTACCTGTATTATAATATGTTTTGGTTTTAAAATAATAACGTTATCATCATTATGATTAAAATTACATTTACGTATTTTACAGGTGGCGTGTTTCGATATTTTAAAAAATTTCTCGTATCTCGTCACGACGCAAGCTATGCAAGTAAAAACCAACATGATACTATCAGTGTTGAAGATCGCCGAAGTCGATATACTGTTACCGGCGTCGAACTCATGGAGTACAAGTGTGTTACCAAACGCGGGTATGCTAACGTTGACACTGGTAACTATAATGGTCCTATTCTAAAGATAAAAAAAGACAAAATAATACATTATTGTAAGTTGATTTAATTTTTTTTTTATTGTTAAGTTTTCTTTTATCTTATACATTTTATCTTCTGTTTTTATAATATTTTTCTTATAAGATTTAAAACTCCGGTAGAAATTCGGTGCGTCATAACTTTTTAAGTACTGCATGGAATTTCGATGGCTCCCAATATTTTTACAGCAATATAAGCTGAAATACAATCTTAGTAAAATTGTATTTCCACGTTATCATTTCAATTCTTGTTTAGTCTTTGAACGCCATCGTTTTACATACGGTTTCTATAATTTTTAATTTATGAAATTAGTATTTTTAAATTATTATTATTTTATGCTTTTAAAATCGCTCAAATTATAGAATATTACGATATTATACCATATATTATTACGATTATTACTATATTATTAGTATAGCATGGGTACATGTTCAATAGTGTTTCAAATATTTATGTATACGTAATATTTTTCAAAGGTCGCTTATTCATAATATTTCAGGAAAATCATGCTGTGATATTATTATATTTATATGAACATTGAGAAACATAAGCTATAATGAATATTCTATTATAGTTGTCATCATAGTTAAATAAGTAGGTAAAAATAGTATCACGTAATATTGACATGTAATTAAGAGCATATTTTCAACATTGACATCGAATCTATATATAAAATGTTATAATAACTAATGCATTGAGTGATAATCGATTCATTTGAGTTTTTAGTATAAATTAGTAGTTTCTAAATTATTCAATATTTCAATACGACTATCTAATGGAATTAGTGGCTGATAATATTGAGGATAATGATGTGTAGATGTAGCCATCTTCATTTGAAATTAAATTCGAATGAAGTAGTTTTACTTATGCAACCGTATTTCATTATCTCACTGGTAACAACATCTTAGAACGTATTTTAAATATCTAATTTCGATACCATAAAATTTGATATTATATTTAGATTCATTATATTACTTGGTTGGTTTCTGAAAATTTCGTATCGTCGCAAGCCTTGTTTCTTTACTTTTCTCACCCCCGTAACATGTTTCCGTAATGTTTTAAACATAAATTCGCTTTTTTTTTTTTTTTGGTATTACAGGTAAACATTAAAAAAACCTGTAATATTAAGTTACACTTTACTTATCTAAATGCAAAGTAAAAACTTGTTTTTATCTAAACATTTCTCGACACTTGTTATCGTGACTTGATTGTGATGGAATAGATCTTTTTGTTTGTATGGTTTTAATCAATTTTGAACAAGTAAATATCAAACACAAAATATTACACTGGAAAAATTTTTGAAACTACCGTAATATAATACTGTAATATTATGGGAGAGAATTATTACCTATATTTTATGTAAAATGCGATGTTACACATTTATATGCATACACACAGAACATGTTAATATTATTGAACAAAAAAATATCGTAATATCGATATTATAATACCATTTTGAAAAAATGTCATTCAACTTTTCACTGTATGAACTCAATTACTTTTTAACCTTATAATATATTTTTCAATATTTTAAAATTAAAATATTCATCAAATGTTATTCAGTAATATTATAACTGGATATAGCAGCTATGAATAATAAATCGTATGGATAATATATATATGTTATTCATAGGATTTATTTTTTAATTTTTATGTATTTTTTTTTTTTTATAACTATAGTTATATAGTGTTACCGTTTGTTGACTTTGTGACAAATAAGTTTTCTTAAAAATCACTTACTTTATGGTACAATGTATTCTCAATCCCGTGCTAAGTTCTTCATTATAAATCGATTAAACAACAGATTTTTATTTGGTTAAAAGTTTGTGCGTTAGAACTAATATATCAAAATTATCAATTTATCAAAAAATGTATAACATTGTGTCCCTGTGTTTGGGTATACATATTTTTATAAATTTTTTTATTTTTATTTTTTCTCGTGATCAATAAAAATAAATTAAACAAATTCGATTAGTGAATGACCGTATTTGACGTGATGGAATACGTAAGACTAGTGTAAATGCCGTTTTTCGGCAAAAGTGATGTGACATTATTTATTAAAAACACGCGTGTCGCATGTGTTGCCCATCCATATATTATACTATAAGTATACTGCACTTCTACTGAGAAATGTCACGGTCGTTTCCCGTGTGCGTTCGGTTTGTTTGCTTCACATTTTTCGTGCCCTCTGCATGGCTGCTGAGCAATGTAATAATATACCGTAAGACGAAGTGCGGATCCGTGGGTGTGTGTGTGTGTGTGTGTGTGTGTGTGTGTATGTATGGAGGGGATGGAATAGTAGAGCAATGAAGGACGAGGTTCGAGTATATATACAAGCTCGTGAATAAGTGAAACGATGATGGTGCGCGTTCTGCCCTGTAAATTGTCTGCTGAATAATAACGGAAAGCTGCCTGCCTGTATTAAGTTTATATGCCCTATACTTAACAAACGTGTGCGACCGATTCGACTAGCTGTGTGTGTGTTTGCGTAACGTATAATTTTGTCTCGGCGATCGAGGGACATTGACGAAATAATGATGATTATTACACGGACGTATCTACCAAGGGTTTTATTTGTGAACATTCGCATTGCAATATGGTGCCGAGATTATAGGTTCCTCCTGGTTTTCTGTCACTTCCTCCACGACCAATTTTCTCAGGGATGTTTTAATTTGGTGCGCTAGACTATTATTTTTGGTAGATATACATCACCGCAGTTTTGTAACATATTTACCCGCGTTCTTAGTACTTACACTGCTCGGACTGCGTATTTGCACAGTTATTACCCAAGTGGTAAATGCTGTTGATGTGCGGACTGTGACGTGGTTGAAATAATATCAACATAAAATAATGTTGATTACGCTGTGCTTGCAGTAGAAAAAACGACAATGCGAGCGCACTAATCGATGATTTTAGAGACAACTATTTTGTAGTTAGATGCCAAAAAGCGCACCTAAAATATGCCTTGTGCCGTTTTTGTTAAACGAATTTAAATAGAATGGCAACAAAATAGATTAAACACTTTTTGTTCGTACTGGGTTCGAATAACAATATTATGTTCCACCCTTGGATTAATCGAAACTTAGCGTGTTAACTTTTCAATACATTTTGAACTACTCGTATTATCGAGGTTGGCCACTAATAAAATAAAAAGTTTAAGTCAAGTTGATATCAACTTTTCGACTTGCCTTTTACTATCTTTGATTTTCTAATAACTTGATTTGTTCCTGTAGTAATTTAACTTAATTATAAAAATTTATATACTCTATTTAAGTTCATGTACATTGTTTCCATAAATAAATATATTTTTAGTAACTAAAAATACATATTATTAAAGTGACTGATTTTCGATTATTGTAGTTATTTTAAAATACCATATACCCGGCAGACAAATCTCACTACAAGGCGCTTACCCAACATTTGAAGCGTCTATAATGGGAATCACAAATATGAGTTTTGTACAATTCTTACCTCTTCTCTAACTGCCAAATATGGCTTCTTATGAAAATCCATTTGAAAACTTTTGTGTATCGAAAATTCTCCTCTTTCATTACAAAACCCTGATGACAGCTATCTGAGCAAACTTAAGTAGACATAATTGCTAAAGATTTCCAACCACACCATAATATTACGCGTATTTCTCCAACCAGAATCAAAATGGTACAAAACTATCTGCATACTATTTATGTATCCTCCACCTCACGTTTTTGATCCTTACAAAATGAAATTTAACTCAATAAAAAATTCACTCAAAATTTTTTCTGAATTTGACCTAATTACAACGAAATGGGAATTTAACGGAATTTTACATACCCAGAAAAACTATAATTTTCCTTGATCAAATTTAAAATTCTATGCTTCGTTTATCATATTTTCTTATATCATAGAAATACTCTATTATAATACTCATATTAAAACTATAAAAATATCATCACTGTCCCTCTTTATACAGACCTATATTTTTTTTTCAACTATCTTCAAACTATTCAAAAACCTCATCAAACGAATATTGCTATTAGTTGAGGAATCGAAAATATTACCTGATTCTCAATTTAGTTTTTGCAATAACATTCAAAGATCTATGGTTCATTACCTGGTTGACAACATTTCGTTTACTCCGAAGGAATAATTACAATGTGCCGGTGCTTTCCAAATGTTTCACAAGCATTTGACAAAGTTTGGCACTCAGAACTTCTCTAAAAACTAAAACTTCTACTTCCTAACCATTATTATCTTATATTCAAATCCTATTTCGAAAATCGCTTCTTTTTCATATGTGTAGGTTCTTCCTTCTCTTCTCCAGAAATAAAAACAATGCGTAGTAATTGTTCTTCTTATTTTCAATCTTTACATCTACGACCAATCATTCTCTATTCATAATCTAGTAAGTGACTTCGTTGATGACAAAGCCATACTACCAATCAGAATCCAAACACTAAATGACCACCTTCGACTCATTCGACCACTTCTAACCTCTAACAACATGAAACTTCCCAAATAATAATTCTACTCTAAAAACTCCTACTAAAACTCATATGAACATATAGAATTTAACTTTGAGCCACTGCCTTTATTTCCAACATTAAACGCAATCAAATAGTCCACCCTGATCTCAAAATTTTACACGTCTGAGAATTCCATAAAATACATTACAAACGTTTCAAGAGAAGCTTAGCTCATAGTAAAAACCCCATAATATGAGCATTATCATTTGAAACTATCTAAGGCAACCTAGTTAAAATACTTAAATGACAGTGGGGTCATGACTATCCAACTAATTAAGCTTATCATGCCTCTACACTCTGTCAAATCTATCATTTTTTTTTTTTTTTATTTATATTTATCTATTTTTTTCATAAATTATTCTTATTTTTCTATATTGTAACAGATTAAAAACAAAAAACATTATAATTTTAAAAATGATAAAATAATGAATTATTTTATTTTGGAAAATTTTAACTTTGAAAACTTTAAAATAATATAATTGTCTTCATTTATTATCCTTTACTGAGTTTAGAAAGTTTTTAAAATATCAATAAATAGATCCATATATCATGATTTATTCTATAATAATTATAACATAATTTTCATAATATAATATAAAAAAAAAGCTTTTAAACTATTTAAATTTGATCATCAAAAATTGAAATAAATAAAGTCAGGAGCTTACTAACCTACCTTTCTCAGCAGTCATCTAATAAATTTTCTAGTCACACAATCACCATTAAACACTAGTGTCTATTTCGGGCAACAGCATCGAGGAGATGGATCGATACC